CAGAGAAAAAAAAGGAGTGGAAGTGCGCCAAGGCAAGGTAAGATAATCCATGCAGTATGGAACACAGAAACCACGATGTCGACGACTCCAACAACAGTTGGCACAGCCAACCGCTGAGACGATGGAGCCTTTCTAACTATCTGGCAGCAGAATAACCGACACAGTCCCGAAATTAACGGAAAGTAGAAAGGGCTTCAAGGAGGACCAGCTGCAAAACAAGCAGACTCCCGAGTCTGATGAATAAGCCGTCCCCGACCGCTCAACATCGGCACCCACAGGCTTTTCTGGGCACTATATAAGAAGGCCAGCACTCCCAACCACCAAAGGATACTAAACTGGTTGCCGATCGGCACAATTTTGGAAGCTTCTGCCGGGGAAATCGATTTAAACATTCAGATATCACGATACCTCGTGACGAAAAATAAACATGACCCAGACATAACGGAGGAAAGATAAGGAGACCACCTAAACTGTGCTTTTATATAAATGGTTTGAGAACTATTCCAGCGAGAGCAGAAGTGACATGTCACCGTAGATGAAGAAGCCCACTGGCGGAGGTGGGCGCCAGTGGTGATTGTTTTAGTGAAGGTGACTTGCGTTGCATCAAACGTACCCACCCTCTCTGTCTTTCTCCCTTCTCAAACCCATAGGGTTGCCGTATCAAGAACACCGGAGAGGTGGACTCGCTCGCCAAATGGCTCATCTACGCATGGTATTCCAATCTGAAGGGCCTAAATGCTGAGAGCAACGGACTTCACACAAAGGGTAGGGGTCTTTAAGGTCATTACAAGGACTCCCTACAATCTGACCGGCATTGTTGAGTAAGACTGACTTCTTCCATCAGTTGGTAGCCTTCCAAGCCACGGCCAGTCGTGATATGTTCAAGTGTGTCAAATTTACGACAAAGGAGAATGTGCTGATGTGCCGTGACGCAAAAGTACTCAGTGTTGGCGTTACTCGTACTTGGTCCCGGTTATGCACCAGACGAGGCTCACAACCTTGCGCTAAAAAGCCAATGATGATATTGGGTGCAGTCGTTGCTGACGCGGCGTGAAGCTCCCGTCTAAGGCGTGCCACACACGTGCGTAGCAGTAGTCTTGGATTGTAACGAGCAGGGCGTCACCCAATGCGTACCGCGGACTTATCGCACCTCAGTTTTGGCCTGCGTTGCAGCCCCTTGTGGATGCCCCTCTGCACTCTTTTATGAATTGCATGTGCGATTAACTAGGACTACGAAAATCCAGTGCGGTGGTTGGCGTTATCTAGAGGCTCCGGAAAAGGTTTGTCTTCCTCTGGAAAGGGTGAAATATGTAGTATGACTGTGATGATATAATCTGCGCCGGTTTCCAATCTAGTCAGGCATTGAGCTTGCAGGCGATCTGGTTGGATCAGTCACGTTATGAATGTGGTTTTTGGCAAAAGAAATGTGACTCAGTTAAATTAGGTGGGTGGGCGGGCGGAGGAAGTAGCTTTGACCTTAGCTGTGCAGCGTGTTGAGATTGACCCCAGCTGCTCTACTTCTCGACCGAGCGAGGTGGGTTACGACCCATGGTTTCAGGCAAACTTACTGCTAAGTATGGGTGCAATGTGCGATGGCATTGTTTAGCGCATAACTGTTGAAAACGCTCCTTCATGGCACTGGGGCGAGAGGTGAAGACATGCAAAAATTCGTCTCCTAGCAATGTAACCAGTAAATGTGCCAAGTGTAGATGGCGGTATACATACGGAGAAGAAACTAACTGAAAAAGACAAAGTGAGCATCCTAGGATGCTGATTTCTGTCATATTATCGTTGCAGTATGCATCCAATGCACTCTTGTGCCCAAGCCATCAGACCGGGCAAAAAGGTATCTATGGAGCGCCATTGATCACAATATGAACGTAGGAGTGAGTCCCGAGAGCCGCACTGTAGCCATATATATCTGCAAGAAGTCGCCTACTCATAATTGATAAGAAAACCCAAATATTACCAATAGATAAAAGGTAGACGAAGATGGCTGCCTCCGGCTGATATGCCGGCAGTGGCCTCTCATACCTCAATCTCAGATAGAAGAGACTAAAGACTAAATTTCGTGTTGAGATGGTCACTGGGCAAAGAACTGAGCCTTGATGGAAGGCAATTAGAAGTATCTAAAATTTCAATAATGTCACATATACCAGAGGATCACATTGAGGAACCAAACAACACATTCCACACTGGCATGAGAGGTACCTTTTTCAAGCTTGTGGTGTGTGAATTCGGTGAAGTTCGTGTGTCGCGCCTGTGTTGATAGCTAAACGGTCGAGGGCAATGTGCGTAAATTTTTATGGTGAAATAAAAGAAAGGAAAACTCTCTAGTTTCATGCTCATAGTGGTAAAATAAAACTAGGGCTGGGCTAATTCGAAGCAATATCCACGACTATAGCATAGAAATTAGATTTTAAAGTGAGATAAGGGGCTCAGGTCCACATAACTGCGGGCGCAATAGGGGACAAATCAAGGAGGAACTTCAGCAGCTTGGCCCGCAGTGCTAAAAGAATCACCGTATATACCGGTGAGTTGGCAACTTCTCAAGATACAACATTTACTGTGATGAGTCCATTTCAAAAAATAGCGTGTTTACTTTTCAAGGGTGCCTTTATAATATTTAAATCATCCTGCCTACCCATCCCACGCGACAGTAGGCCATCCATCCAAACCTGCTGACGGATTGGCTTCATTTGCCGCAGGGGATGGCGTGCAGTGAACATCAGTCGAATGGGTAACAAATGCGGACGTGGAACCTACGCAGACCAAACGCAGTGGAAGTAGTATGAATCCACCGGGCCAGTGTGGTGCTCAGTTTGGTTTTTGCGTAATTGCGGAATACAGGCCTGCAGCTTGTTACGTCAAGTGGGAACGGCGATCCCTGAGACTCCCAAAACTCTACTGCCAGGGATCAGGTAATGGCGACAGATCAGACAGAAATGGTTATACTACTCCGCTCTGTCTTTGACGGTGGTGTAGCGCCAGCGCCAAGCCCCAAACCGTCGCGTGACTGCGCTCTTCTTTCTGCTTCTGGGACAGCCAATCACAGGCACTGTAGAGTGCTATTGACCAAGCAGTTCATCAAGTAGCCACTGACTTACTACCACATGGCGTTTGTGCATTCAGGCCCATTTCACGCTAGCAGAGAGACGCGCGCGCAGGCCCCGGCCCTGTCGCCTTTCGGGGCTTCAGACCACCATTGAATGTCAGCGATCATACCAAAGCTGTCAGTTTATTTTCATCGATTTAAAGGTTGGCCACCCTAACCACACCCAGGTTGCGTTGCAGAGGTGCTAGGTGAAAACGAGAAACAAATGGACTAACTGCACGGATTGGGCAGACTGCACAGAATTCACGGAGCCCCGAAGTACAATCTTATACGGGAGGGATGTGGTCGCACACCCTAGAATTTGGACGCTTAGCGACGTTAGCCACTGCGACTAAGCACATCAACAGCTACTTGACCAGCTCGGACAGTCGACTGGTTGAACGGCAGAGGAATAGGCTGAAACCGACATCTTATAACCCGCGGCATTCCTCATTAGAGCAAAGCTGGTGGGCCCGGAATTTATCAGAACGAATAAAACGTCATAGTTTGGAAAACTGCCGACTTATGGGATGATATGTTGCTTCTCGGAACTTGGACTTACACTTTAAAGACTCCCTCCTTATTTGATGTCTACGGCCGCCGGTATTAACATTATATTGTC